TTTCTAATTCTTGAAGTTCAGTCTGAGTGTTCAGGAGCGTGCAGAAGGAGGTGATCTGGAATCTCTTTGCCATTCCATTTTTAACCCCTTTGTGCAGCAGATTCAGTGGATATTGAGGAATACATTAACCCTAATAGTACTTGGATGTTTGGCTATGGTTCCCTTAAAGCCGTCCACAGACACAGTGAATGGAGATTGAGGACCAGAGTGATGAGATAAAAGCAAAAGAATAAGAAAAGAGAGAGAGGGGAATAAAAAAGAGAGAGAAAAAGAAAGAAAAAACAACCAAAAAAGTTTATTCAAAATAAAAAGCAGCAATAGAGGAGTCTTCTTCTGAAGGCCTGTCCCTTGCCTCTCCTAGAGGGTGGGGAGATGGGATTATTAACAAGGTAAAGGAGAATCTGAAAGCCAAGAGAATACTTTACCTTAAAAAATTTTTAAATGAAAAATTACAAAAAACTGAGAAGACAGAGAGAGGGGCAAAGAGAGACAGAGAGAAGGCAGGAGCAGCTCCCTACCACTCGAGTTTGGGGGCTGGAGGCTGAATCATCAGTAGAAAAATCTTCATTTCTCTTTTTTCCCTGAAATGACTAGTTTAAAAGAATAAGAAGAGAGAGGGGAATAAAAAAGAGAGAGAAAAAGAAAGAAAAAACAACCAAAAAAGTTTATTCAAAATAAAAAGCAGCAATAGAGGAGTCTTCTTCTGAAGGCCTGTCCCTTGCCTCTCCTAGAGGGTGGGGAGATGGGATTATTAACAAGGTAAAGGAGAATCTGAAAGCCAAGAGAATACTTTACCTTAAAAAATTTTTAAATGAAAAATTACAAAAAACTGAGAAGACAGAGAGAGGGGCAAAGAGAGACAGAGAGAAGACAGGAGCAGCTCCCTACCACTCGAGTTTGGGGGCTGGAGGCTGAATCATCAGTAGAAAAATCTTCATTTCTCTTTTTTCCCTGAAATGACTAGTTCCCAGCAGCAATGGAGCGACCTTTATGAATTTTTATCTGTGATCATCAGTTGATATTTATTCTACTGACGTCAAATGCTGAAAGCCGTCATGGAGGTAAACCCTAATTCCCTCACACCTGTGCTTAAATCACCTGTGGAAAGTGCAGACAACCCCTTTTTTTCTCCCTATTTTATTTTATTTTTTTACATTTACCCACTGTACATATATACAGCATACAAAATGAATTTTTTTAGCACAAATACACTGCATATTAGTTCAGTCAAAGATATTCCCAAACATATTATTATCACAAATAATTTTTCATTTTTGTGTCTGTTAAATGTTTTGCTTTTTTTCCCTTCTAGATTGCCTTCCTCCTGGAGACCACCTTCTGATGCTTATTCTTGTTGGAATTTGTGTCCCTTGAAAGGATCACTCATTGAATTCACTTCCTAAGTTCTCTCTGCCCCTCCCCCCACCTCCCACTTTCTGGTCTTTTAAGAAAGATAATGCTCACCCCCCACCCTTGCAGGTGACATGGTGATTAAGAGCACTAGACTCCCACATGGCCAAACATGGTTCAAGTTCTGGACCTGAAGGCTTGCCTTCTCATTTTCCCTCTCTTTCTTTCTTTGTCCTTCTCTGGTCAAATTAAAATAAATAAATAAATAAAGTTAAACAAAATAATTCTGTTTTTTTTTTTTTAGACGTTTTTGCTATAGGACGGATGCACTCCCCAGAAAGACAGAGGGAGGG